ATATATATATTTGGTTAAACCAAATATAATGGAGACTATGGGCATTTCTTGAAGCCCTAGAACCATCCTGCCTGGGCATCGTCTCCTACTCGCTTCGTCGCAGTTATCGCCTGGGATTGCTGAGGACCGCGGTGGTAAACTCTGCAGTGTTTAGGGATCTTTAGGGTTTTGGGATTTAGGGATGTGGGGATATTTAAGACCAGGGGTTCCGAGCTGCTCTCCGCAAGTATCTTGAGCACTGTTGCGCACTGAGGAGTCCGCCACCTCCACATCCTGGGCCAGCTTCGTCTTCGCGATCTCGCGGGCAACACTGCTGAGGCTGCTTGCGCATCCCCGATTCTCTGAAGAACGTCCGGTATCCGACGCTTAAGCCCAACCTAAACAAAGATCCAACCCACATCCCAAGGACTGAACCTCAAGCTGCGCTTGATGCTCACCCGCCCTCCAACTCCGGGAGCCGACCGCCCCAAACCTCCCAACACACGAAAACAGTCAAGACACCTAGCAGAAGGACTAATTGTATGCGAAAGAGTAGTATATAAGACTAAACCGGAACACAATCATCGTCCGCCTACTTTCGTTTCTTGCTGTCACTGCGACCGTGCCCTCTTTGTGTTTCCCTGTAAAATCCTGTCAGGCCCCCAAGAACCGATCAAGCGCCACCAAAGATCACCAAAGGCACCCCTAACTCCTCAGCAATCTCTACACGAAGCACGAAGCCACCAAGTCTTAAGGTTTAGGTTGGTCGCCCTACCGTATAAGATTTTCTTTTATGCCCCATCATGCTGCATTGTGCTTCTTTCGTTGTGGTATAGTAAGATACACCATGTACTATATGATAGTATGCCATGTTACACGTTTGAATTATGCTGAACTATATTATATTATGTTACTGTGTTCAGTTTTTTCATGTTATACACTGACTTGCTTTGTTGTACTATGTTGTATTATGTGTAATGTAGTTGTGATATACTTTGTCGTACCATGTCATATTATGCTGTCCTACGTTACATTGCGCCACAATGTATTCTCTTGTATGACACTTTATGCTACTAGATGATCTTGTACGCTGCTGTACTATACTAGACTACTATACAGAACTTCATCACATTACAGTTGGTGGCAGTATAAGTATGACCCATGAACCTATCGCATAAGCCAAAACCAAGGCCTGGAGCTCAGCGATGCGGTCTTCACATCCCGGCACCTCGGCGCGGATCAATGCGATAATTCTGAAAATGTGGATAATGAAGCTGATGATGAAGATGACCATGAGAGGAGGACAAGGAAGTAATGATTGAAAAAACTCATGACGCATAATGCTAAACACCGAGTAACATGTCAAATATGACTTGATCAACAGGCAGCAAATTGCCCTCGAGATCGCTTGCAATTGGCTTGGGAGCTCGCACCAGGGCGGAGCTGGAGCTTCGCAGCTCCGCTCGTTCAGTATTTTCAAGTATGAACCAGAACAAAGCTCATGACTTAAGTACGGACCGGATAGCTTCTTTGAGCCTATCCGTGTCTGAGAAGTTCAGTTGCGCGAAGTCCTAACCTGGAACCTAAGTAAACTACCACCCTAGGCCCTGACCAGTAGCAGACTCAACATCACGCCCAAACCCGAATGATTCTAACTTTTGGACAAGTTACATAATTGAAAGCCCTCAACCCGTCGATCATGCAAACAGGCGGCCTTGGTACGCAGCTCCTTCAACACACCATCGATACGGCCCTGACAGTCTGACAAGTCAAACTGCGTGGGTGGCTGTGCATTCCGGCTCTGCACGAACTGCCCGCAATTCTCCGAAAATCGCCCCGCCTGCAGTTGCGTTTTGAGTTCCTCAAACTCCTCGAGGGTGACAAGCACCGGCTTCTTCGGCATGGGGCAGAGACTTTGCCGCCAAGTGGGGCTGCTATGCGATGTGATTCCAGGTGTCAATGCTGGTCGCTGGGTTGCAAGCGGGATGCTGTGCACAAGGCACGTCGCTTCTGCTGAGGATTTGCAGCAAGCTCGGGCCTAAAGATCAATGAAGGATCTCTGCAACACGAGCTCTACTCTAGCGGAACCCGAGCCCTAGTTCGCGCACAACAGTGCCAGAGAACCATCGCAGCTTACTGCCCCTTCTGCTCGGCCTTCATCTTTTCGGCGCATGACAGAGGCAGGACGGGCAGTGCCACATCCGCGTGCATTAACTGGCGCGGCAGTGCCAGCGCAGCTTCAGTTACCTGCTTTGTCCGAATCGGAACTGGAGTAGTTGTTGTTGCCGTCCTGGGCCGGCAAGGAAGATTGCGACGGCACGACCCAAACAAGTAACGAAGCGCCCAAGTCACATTTCTACCATGACAGCACTTCCTGAAGCTGAGGCCCTGGGCCTCTGACACCCAAACTATTCACCAAGCTCACGGCCATCGGCTTTCCATCCAGACCGAGCTGGCCACCTCAGCAACTCACGGCAGACGTCAGGTGTGAAGTGAGGTGAAAGCCTACGACGCTACGACTACGACGCTACGGGACCCCAAACATCCCCAAACCCTTAATTAAGTCCGCTCCTGTTAAGACCAAGGTGCTGTTCACAACGATGATCTCTTCACTTGGCGTGCCACTCCTCCAGGCCCAAAATGATAAAGTAGGAACCTGATTAAGAAACCCTGGCCTACAATCCCAAAATACTAGGGTTCATATTAATATAGAGAACCCTAATCAAGACCCAAGGTTTCTTAATCAGGTTCCTACATTAATGGCGTCATAAGAGTAAGAGTTGCAACAACAACAATAATGATAATAACTATGGCACGGTTGACGATATAAATCTTGCATTGCCCCTAACCCTAATCAGGTCTGTACCATAACTCCCCTAGTTTAGGGTCCTTAAAGTAATGCAGGGTTTATATGGGTAGTTGTCAAAATTATGGTCCTTTTTGGGGTACCCTAAATAGTAGGTGCCGTATTATAATAAGGACCCAGAAGTTGGGTGAAACATCTAAAAAAAAATTGATAGACATCAAAAAAATATTTGACCCTGCGGCCATCAAAAAAAAATTGCTAAGCATCAAAAAAATATTTGCAGACAGAGTAGTAGTAGTACTAGTAGTAGTAGTAGTAGTAGTAGTAGTAGTAGTAAAACTAGTACTAGTAG